TGTGTAATTGTATTCAACCCCCCCTTCTACAATTACTTTCTGTTTATTGCCTTACCCTTCGGGACTAACAAAAACCAACCTTAACTCCGAGTATATTCATCACGCATCAAGATCTTATTACATCGAAAATTCAAAAACGTATTTCTCACGTAAAATAAGCCAACATCGCAAATCGAAGTAAAAGGTCTCAAATATTAAGGTTTTGAACAAAAACAAATATTATTATGAAAATATTTTGAGGATCAAAATTGCAATTATCAATCAATGAAGCAATTTAAGACAGTTGATTCATGACAAATTTTTCAATATATTAAATACAATCGAATAGAGTATCAATGAAAGAAGTATGGAAATTCGTACCTGGCATGATATCCAACTATAAAAGAGGTCGCTTTACCCGAGATCTCCTAGTCGCTTCCAGTGGTGGATGCAGAAAAATATATTGTAGGGGGATGATATAAAATAAAATAATAATTAGCTTCAATTTCATATGAAAATGATAAAAAGTTACCTCTTACAACTGTGCCCTACGACTCTTCATCTTTTGAAATTGAGTAATTACATCATCATTTGAAATTGTGAGAAGTGCTTCTTTTTCTATAGTACATATCATTGGAGCATTCAAAAATTCATCACCGATTTTGTTGCGCAAATCTGACTTCACAATCTTCATAGCAGAAAAACATCTTTCGACTGTTGCAGTAGCAACTGGCAAAACCAAAGCCAACTTCAATAACCGATATATTAGAGGATAAGTTTTATGCTTTTTTGTTTCCACAACAGTCTAGCGAGCTCGGCAATACCACTTAAATTGGCAAATCTTTCATCTTGACGCACAATCAAATAGTACATGTTAAGTTGTTTCTCAAGAGCGATCCTTTCCATATGACTAAAATCTTGAGGATACAACTCACTCAACTTCAATAAATCTGATACATTGAACTGCGAAAATGAATCGCATGGACTCAAAGCTGCTATATTTTTAAGTAATTCAGTATTTACCTCACTAAATCGATCCCCAAACTCTTGAATTTGCATGTCCACAACAGTGTTGAAAATCATCAAACTTGTAATAATGACAATTGGTGATGTTGGTCCTTTGTCTTCCRTTTTTTGAATAACGGTCTTCCATATCCAAAGCCTTAATACCATTTGCTTCACAAAAAGAATACATTTTCTTCAAAAGTGGATCAAAACTAGTTTCTCTAAATTGTTGCAATAGTTGTTTGGTTCCTCTTATCAATGAAACCGCTTCCAAAATATCTTGATCCTTTTTTTGAAGAGCCCGTGACAACAAGTCTGTGACCTCTAAAATATGAAACATCAAATGCAAATAAATCACAAAATTAAATGTCTTCAAATATGCTAAAATACCAGTTGCTTGAGTGCGACTAAAACCATTATCCCTGTCCTCTTCATCATACCAGAGCACTTCAACAACATTTGAAAACAAAACAATCAAACTCAAAATGGTTTTGTAATGAGAACCGCACCATGTATCTTCGGCTCGTATAAGAGAAAGCTCTTGGTATTTTCCTGTTCCAGTATCAATTTCACACTTACCAATTGCTTCTTGCACTCTATCTTTGTAACTTTGTCGAAGCATGTCTTTACGCTTGCAAGAAGCATTCACCACATTGATCACCATTCCTAACATATTAAAAAAGTTCTCAACTCCATCATGTTTATTGGCAACCGCCACAACAACTAATTGAAGTTGGTGAGCAAAACAATGGATATAATATGTCGAGCTATTTTCATTCAAGATCAAGGCCTTTAATCCATTGAACTCACCGCGCATATTGCTTGCTCCATCATATAACCTTGCCCTCTTACCTGTTTCAAACTCAATCCATGTTCAGCAAATAAAGTATCAATGGCAGATTTAAGAACTGAAGAAGATGTCCCCGTCACATGAACAATACCAAAAAATCTCTCCTTAATAATACCACGTGCATCAACATATCGTAAAACGACCTCCATTTGTTTCTTCTTGGAAACGTCAATAGACTCATCAACTAGCAATGAGAACACATCATCACCAACTTTTTTACGAATGGATTTGAGTATTTGATTTGCAAAACAAGCAGCAATATCTTTTTGAATACTTGGAGACACCATTTGATTATTCTTTGGAGCATTTTTTAATATAACTTTACCTACATCCTCATTGCAATCACCAATTAAGGATAATGTTTCCAAGAACATGTCTTTAGAAATAGACATTTCATATTCATCGTGACCATGAAAGGGCAATGCATTCTTCAACAAGAATCTACAGGCCTTAATTGAAGCATTTAATCATATTCGGTGCTCATTCTTCTCCTTCTCAGTTTGCTTATGAAAGGCAACGACAATTGATAGATCTTGGCTCATTAGATCCTCACTTTTCTTAAGTGCTCTATTGTGAAAACTATCAATGTCGCTGACATGAAGACCAAGTCTTTCCGTTTTATTCCAACTATTAAAACCATCTGTTACAAAAGCATCACTCCCACATTGTCCTACGTAATGATCTTTAAACAAATAACAACACAAACAAAAAGCTCTATCTGTTTTTACACTATACTCCAACTAATTAGCATATTGATCAAACCAAGCCGGACAAAAACGTCTTCCTTTACTCCTGACAATTTTTTTTTGGAAATGCATGACCCCGTGGTTGACAAGGTCCTCTAAGAAAGTATTTTCTCCTTATTTCATCCCTTTGATTAGGATGATATTCCGAAATCTTTTTCTTATCGGCTGAATCCCAAGGAAGATCGTTCAAATCAATTTCGTAGGGCATCGAAGGAGCAGAGCTCGATTCAGGTGTTGATGCTTTCCTTTTAAAAAATCTTTCCATTTTTTTTCTAGCAATAACAATAACAAGATAAAAATCAATGGTTTAGTAACATTTCCATTTGCCTACAAAATTAATCTAACATTTGACATTTTCATTTGATTTGCCTACAAAATTGCCTACAAAATTAACCTAACATTTGACATTTCCATTTGATTTGCCTACAAAATTAACCTAACATTTGACATTTCCATTTGATTTGCCTACAAAATTGCCTACAAAATTAACCTAACATTTGACATTTCCATTTGATTTGCCTACAGAATTGCCTACAAAATTAACCTAACATAAAGCATTTACCAAATCAGCAATAAGCAAACAACAAAATCAAAAAAGTAATCAAAATTAAAGACTGGAATTTGGAAATTAGAATTTTTATCCAAATTATTAGAGTTGCTTTGCTTCAGTCCAGTGACTCCATTCCACTGTCGTCTGTCCAGTCTAGGAATTAGGAAAGCCGGAAGGAAGAACCGAAGAAGCAGGCAGCGATGAAGATTGATGAAGAAGAAGAAGTGGCGTGATTCGTGAAGAACAACAAAATCAAACCAGTCCACTGTCTCTCGTCTGTCGTTCGTGTGATGTGTGAAGGGCGAAGGCTGAAGCGAGCAGTGAAGGGCAGGAAGGGTCAAGGCGTGAAGAAGGGGGGCCTTTTACATCATCATATTGGGGGTCCAATTGTACTAAATTAAAAATTACAAGTAAATTTTTTTTTTGGGCTTTGTAAAATAATTTTTGTTGGGGGACCCAGGACCCCAACCAGTCCTTAATGCATCCGCCCCTGCTCGTTTCCAACAAAGCCTAATACCCTGAGATCACACAAACATAATTAGTACGTCTAAATCAATATAGTACTAATTTCTTACTTCCAAGATAACTTATACCATCTATGATTATCCAACCTTAGAAATACTTAATTTTCCCAAAACGTTACATTAACCTTTAACTAGCTTTTAAGTTATAAAATTTATTTATAAAAACATTTAGAACCAAATATAAAAGTTTATTTGTAACAAATAAATAAAGGATATATATATATATATATATATATATATATTTCCTTTGAATTATCTAGGTTAAAATGCAATAAAATCTTTAAATCGAGATTGCGATTATTAAATCTTCATAATATAACTGTCCTGGACCTTTTTGTAAAATATTTTCTGAAACAGGCCAAAACTGTCAAAACATTTCTTGATATTGAAAACAATTTTAATAATAGGGGGTGATATGTAATTACTGACAGGTGTGGTATAAAAATGTCAGAATAACATCCATTATTGTTGGAAAAGAAAATATGAAGCGTCTTTTATAATTTAGGGTCTTAACTGTAAATAGTAAAAAATTATGGGTATAAACAAAATAACCCACATGATGTTGTCTTCTCCACCCGATATGACCCATATTTATTTATTTTCGACCCATATTTCAAACCAACACAAAATCCTTTCGATTTTTTCATATTTTTTTCTTTACAGAAGACGTTTTTATGATATTTCTATAGATGAAACCCATCAATTTCATTAAGAAATCCCAGTAAAATAGTCATATTTGATAGGGGTGTACAAAAAACTGTCAACCCGTCTAACCAACCCGTTAACAACCCAATTAAACCCAACCTGCCTAACCGCCAAACGGCCCATCCGTCAAACCGTTAACCCGCCAATTAGGAGGGTTGAAATTGCGCTCAACCCACCCAACCCACCAATCTGCCGCTAATATATAATTTTTATAAAATTATATATATATATATATATATATGTTTATTATGTGTGTTTATATATATATATATATATATATATTTATTAATAATGTATAAATTTTATATAATATTTATTGATATTATGTTTTGTTTCATTTTAGCTAAACGTATAGGTTACCAAAAGAGATTCACGATCAAAAAATGGAGACAAACAATCTAATTAATAAGGAAAATTATTTAAAAAAATTTTGCAGCAACAAAAATTTGATATGTTGGAGAATATGAATTATATTGATGAATTCATCAATGATAAATATTTGATTGATGAATTCATCAATCTATGACGCTTTTAATGAGTTACATTAGAAAAATGTCTTATCTAAAATAATTACAATATGTTTATAAGATGATTTTGGACGTCTTAACAAATTCTATGATGCTTTTAAAATAAAGTGTCGTATTAATTATTTTGTACAACACGACTTGAAAAAGTGTCATATGAACATAAGTGTCCTATAAATTGATGAGTTTACAGGACACTTCTCAAAATGTTTCTATAAAATAACTAATACGACATTTTATTTAGGGATCATTCTAAAACACTTGTTGAAACGTCCAAAAACATCCTATAAACTTATTGTAACCTTTTTAGATAGGACGCTTTATAGTATGGTCCATAAACTTAAGTTTTATGAATTATTCCATTCGTCAAATTATGTAACTATTAACCCGCCAACCCAATCCAACCTGCCTCAACCCGCAAGGGTTGGGTTGGGTTATACTTTTGAATGGGTTGGGTTATACTTTTGAATGGGTTGGGTTGGGTTGGGTTGAGATTTTTTCAAACCGCCATAATTGGGTTGAGTTGTAAAATTGTTGTAAACCGCCCAACCCAACCCGCGAATATACCTAATATTTGAGTAACTCTAAAAATTGGGTTAAAAACACCATTAACAATATCATTCCAGAAACTTCGAAAATCATAGGTAAAAAAATGATCAGGAACTTAAAATTAACAAGACAACAACAAATTAATATGCAGACTATAATCGAAGACTTACCTCCAAAACGTGACCCAATTTATGAAACCGAAACTCAAGTTTGAACAAGATTCATGACCCAAGAAAACTTAAGATATTAAATAAATAATCTAAAATTGGATTATATATGTAAACCTTTTACATTTATAGGTTTCATAAAAAAGATAATGATGAAATTTAAATTTGATTTTCAAAAGATACAATTAACACTTCTTCAAGATATATCCAAAATTTATTTAGGATTTTTTTAAAACCAGATTTGCATAGAATTATAAAAGCCCATCTACTTCCAAGTAGCTCAAATTCAACATTTTTTTAATAACAAAAAAATTATTTTTATCATTTTTTATGGCTAATAATATTTTATAAATTACGGATATTGCATAAAAATTGCAAACTTGGTTCATATATGAATCTGTGTGATTCACGAATGAATTATTTATGTGTATATGAACTCTTGTGATTCACATATAAGCTATTTAACTGATTCACATGTGAACTATTTAACTGATTCACATTTGAACCCGTATGATTAGTTATTATTCATACATGAACTAATTAACAATTCACGTATGAACTATTTAACCGATCACACTGGTTCATATGTGAATTAGTTAAATATTTCATATGTGATTCACAAGAGCTCATATATGTATAAATAGTTCATATGTGGATCACATGGGTTCACATATGAACCCACTTGCCGCCTATTTGTAAAATTTACAAAACTACCCATCTAGCCGTAAATTGAAGGTTCAGGAAAGGTCATATGTGAATAGTTGGAACAAAAATCAATTTGAAAATGCATAAGTGAACCTATATGAGTATCCTGTAATGTTAGTTGACATATCTATTTTCAGTTTTTTTTTCAATAGTTCTGTGATCATATATATATATATATATGACCATAATAAATGAATTATTGACAATATCCCATAATAAATAAATTATTTATGATTTGGGTATTTATGGGATATTGTCAATAATTCTTTTATTATGATCAAGTTTTATATTAAAAACAATCGAGATATTCACTGAATCATCATAAGACTAGATGAACGATTGAGATCATTCGTATATTTTATAAACTCAACTCCCTCTCTCTATATATAGGTGGTTCCAAATACAACTCACTCCATTGTTACAAACTCTACAAACAAGGGCATTTTGTCATTTTGATTATCTTCCTTATGTTGATCATCTCTCTCAGTGATTTGATGATGATCCAATTTATCTATCGAAGTGTACTATCTCTGTATTCAGCTTCAGCGATCATCACTGATTCTGTTCAGTGATCACTGAACATGTATTGTAAGTCCTTCAGAAATAAGGTATTCTTCAAAAAGACATAACTCACACCACAGACCCTTCAGCGATATCGAAGATAAAGCTGAAGATAGAGACAAGCAAGTTCTTGATCTGATGCGGTTTTCAGTGATAACAAGCTCGTCTACACAAGTGTGAAATCTACCAAGATTCAGCGAACACTGAAAAAACCTCAAGGTTATCTAGTGTCAACGATCAAATGAATCTTGTTGAACAAGATTAGTTCTTTTCTTGTCCTTTTCCACACAAAGAACAAACCCATACCTTTCAATGTAAAATATTGTATGAAGTCACTCTACTTTCTCCAAGCGTGCTTACC